GCTGTGCTCTCGTCTTTTTTGAAACAGTATGTTCTGTCTCTTATACACATCTAGATGTGTATAAGAGACAGCTCTCTCTCTGTGTGTGTGTGTGTGTGTGTGTGTGTGTGTGCGTGTGTGTGTGATGCATACACTCATGCACAAATGCCCTGGTTATTGTACTTTGTCATTGATATTGCTTCATTTTCTTGAATTGTAGTAATGGTAATGCTCAACTCTGTGGAAGTATGAGAGGGCAGCACCCATGCATTTGCCAGATCTGTATTCTTTTCTCTATCTTTGTTTCTTTGTCAGAAACTGCTACTCATGTACAAGTTACAGAGCGATGATCCAATGCCCTGTCTTTGCCTGCAGGAGCATGCACATGTGACTGCTGTTTGTCAGTGGCTTGTAGACTCAATGTAGAGATAAATATGTCACATCATCTTATATCAAGTTATATGTATATTTTTGCAGTTGGACTGATTAACATCCAGAAGTACTCCATTACACGTCAGGCATTTTACATAAATGGGGTCACTTCTTGCTTGACACTCTCATCAGGATTTGCTTCCTTGGCATGAGTGGCGACTGTCTAGTATTAGGTACAGCCTACAGGTAATATATCTTTTTATATGGTTACATAAATGATCAGCATCCGCTTCTTTGGTTTACTGGGTACTAGTGGAATAAAATACGGTTACTGTAGTGACATATTTATGACGTATAGTTTGAATTATTTTCTTGTTTATGTAATATCCATGCAGCCATGCTGTGCCTCTAGTGCCAGCGCGTGTCTGGAGTGTATTTTTTGGCTGTGACAGACCTTTCTTTGTTTCGTGGGTGTTTTGCTTGCTTGTGATGGGGTGTGAACCCACAGTCTGTAGATTTTTCCATCTGGTGTGGGTGAGTGATAGTCTGCTCTGACTTTTGCCACAGGTACCTTGAGGGCAGTGGTTGGTGCCCACCTCAGGGTACGAGTTGTCGGGCAGTCGTTGATGCTTAACCACAGCCCGGGGTTAAGGTGGATTATCACTTACAGTGTAATCAGTTAGGGTATTCTGCAGACTGTTGAGGGTTCAGCTTCCTGATGAGTCGGTGAAACTCCGACGAAACAGTTTGCCACAGCCCCTCGTTTGTTGTCCTCTTCTCCCTCTCTGCCTACGGTTTACCGGGCAGCTCTGTTCGGCTATATATATATACTGCATACAAGCTTAAGTAGGCAGACTGTTGCATAAGTGGAGTGCGTGTAGCATGCACATCTCACAGTGTCATGGATTATACAGTGACACTGTGACGCAGCCAATTCCAGGGACGTGAGTACTCTGTTTAAAATTCCAGCGAGGTTCATTGACAGAACCTTAACAGTGAATCACTGGTGGGCCCTACGACTGGTTGAGCAGTAACGGCACTCCATTGATTCAAGCAGTAACAACCCCCCGCAGATGTTATCTTGCTGGTCATTTACCTCACCAAGCCTCTAAATTTTAAAACTCATACTATCATCGGGACGATCTTGATTGAATGTGATTGTGAAATTGATCGGATTCATTGATGATTGGATATATATACTAGAGCTTTGCAGTTACTTTCAACTTTCAAGGCATCTGAGAGATTCTAGTTTTCCATTAGAGGACGGTATCGTCCATTGCCAGGTATGACTGCCTCCCATTGTTGTGTCTCGGAATTTTGGGGCCTGTTCAGCTGCTGACCAACTGATCTCTTATACCATTGCAGTGAGTGGCAGTATGCTTACTCCTAGTTAATATTACTAATGTATTTTTTCTTTCTTTGCAAACTGCGTACAAGCTTAAGTAGGCATGATGTTGCATAAATGGAGTGTGTGCTGCCTGCAAATCTCAGTCTCTTGGATTATATGGTGACACTGTGGCGAGCCAATTGTAGGGACACAAGTACTCTGTCGAAGATTCGAGCAAGGTTTGCGGACAGAACCTTGACGGCTGAATACTCTGGTGGGACCCTTTAGCAGTAACCCCCCCCCCCCCCCCCCCCTCCCCCGCCCCCAAGATGTAAGCCTCTAAATTTCTAAAATCATACTATCATCGGGACTATCTTGATTATACGTGACTGTGAGTTTGATCGGATTCGTTAATGATTGGACACTAGAGCATTGCAGCAGTTAGTTTCAAGGCAAGATTTGAAAGATTGAGTTCTTAAGCAGAGGATGGCCTCATCCTTTGCCGGCTCTGACTGCATCGCCTAGTTGTGTTTGGGTACTTTTGGGCCTCTTCAGCTGCTGGCCAACTGATCTCTTATATAATTGCAGGAAGTGGGAGTTTGCCAACTCTTTTTCAGAAGCAGATTCTACAAGGTAGAAGACACATACGTTGAAACTGCAACACGGCGTGGTTCGTCCTTAACCTTAGAGTGAGGGTCGTGTCTGCACGACGACGTTCGGGTTACTCCGGTAAGCATTGGCGCAGGTCACAACTTGGGATCTGAGCATTAATATAGGTCATGATATCATTGTGCCACCTTGAGGTGACTCCCTTGGTCTCTGCGATCCACCTGACCTCCCAATGGATGAGTACTATGGGCACCTCCTGAGGACCTGCCATCGCCCTCTACTACACTCTGAACCTTTCTTTCAAAAAAAAAGAAAAAAAAGAAAAAAAAAAGAAACTGCAACATTTTGGCACCAAGGGGCACAAACTGACATCATGCTCATATTCTGCTGTAACTTCTTGATGATGTCTGACATGTCTCTGCTAAAGGAGCACAGACTGCTGTCCCAACACTTCAGACAACATATTCAGTTGCAGACTTGAAGTACCTACTACATAGTTGACTGTTCTCCAATAATACTGCTGCGTATGATTTACAAAAACTGCTTGGTAACCTAGGAGATTAAGGAAGAGAGACTGGCACATCTCCACGCCACTGTATTGCTGCCGAAAGAAATCCACCTCTGACAGTTTTTCGCTCCGACAAGTTCTCACCAACATTCTGGGAAAGGTGCGAATCACAGTCTGTTTTCATTTCCGCTTCGTTGCAAGCTTTGATAACATGTTCTGTAGATGAAGTTGTAAGGACGTCTGTGCAATGACCCGGGTTCAAATCCGGCACACAGAAACATGCCTCCCAAGTCTGAGTCAAGGCTAGGCATTATAATGGCCCTTAGTCCTACAGAATATGGCCTACCGTCTTCACCCGAATAGAACACCGTGTCATTTTCGCCATATCTAGACGGAAAGTTGCACAAAATAAAGCTATAATGACCGGGCGTACTATTCGGGTGAAGGTGGTAGTTTGTGTCTCAGTCAAAGACCTTTTGGTATGCAGACCCCTACAGAGTCAAGGTATCGGGTAGAACCAGAGGTGCTCAGTCTACGGGTCATAGATTTTGATATCTCACAGCTATGGGGTCAACAGTTGGTCCTCCAAATGCTGGAAAGTCACCAGGACTGATGTGAAATCTGCACAGACGTGGCCAGGGTTCGTAACCTCTGGTCAGATAAGAGGTCTAGGGTCCAGAAGTCACTTCCCTGACTCTGAAGATTCATCAGAATGTCCCTTGGTGATTAGGTACTGGGTGAAGGGTCAAAACAAGGCATCTCATGCTGCCAGAGTCAAACGTAGGCTCTAGGAAAGCCGACGGTCAGGCACTACCTTGGCACAGAAATCAAAGAGTCAAAGATTTTCCACGTGTCAACCACAGCCACACACATCCAAAGGCTCAGTGCGGTCTCTTTTCCTGGGGATCGTGTGTCATACATCTCTTGTTTCGTTTTTCGTTGCGTGTTTCTCATGCTCCAGGGCTCTTTTTTTCTTTTTCACAGTGTTTTATGTTATTATTTGCTGGAAACAGATCCACTCTCTCTCTCTCTCTCTCTCTCTCTCTCTCTCTCTCTCTCTCTCTCTCTCTCTCTCTCTCT